AAAAAAAAAAAAAAAAAAAAAAAAATATGTTAATTGTGAGAAAAACAGAAAGGAATAATTTATTTGTACTTTAAGAAAAAAAGATATAATAAATAATTTATCTTTTTTATAAACTGTTAATTTTTGTTTTATTTAAAAATATTATATGTTTAAATAATATATTTATTAATATCCTTTTTTTTTTTTTAAATAGTACAACTTTCAAAATATAACTATATATATATATATGAAGATATATGAATGTAAATCTATATTAATTTTAATACTTTTTTTGAAAAGAAAAATTTTTTGATAAATTTTTTAAATGTATATGATCACTTTTTGCATTCATATATTGAAATAAAATTTCTAAAAATTTCAGAATTTTATCATCTTTTTGATATTTTTTTATAGCATCTAACGGATTAGTTAAATAGTCATTCATGAAATCATTTACTTTTTTGTTTTCAATTAGATCTTTAAAATTATTATTTCTACTTATTATCATATTTATTTCATCACTGTTTAAAATAATATTACTATATTTTTGTGAAATATAAGAGTTTTCTTTTTTTATTTCACTATTATCATTTTTCTTAATATCATTCAAGTTAATTTGCATATGTGTATTTTTTTCAGTTACATTTACAAAATTTCCATTAAATAAATTAGAGTTTTCTTTTTTCTCAACTTTTGTAAAATTTTCATTCTTTTTGTTTATTTTTTCTAATGGTGGAGGTAAAATATCAAATCGTTTATCTTTATTGTTTTTCATTTTTTTTTAAAAAATGTGTTTAAATAAAAATGAAAATTTTAGAATAGATTTTTCACATATAGAATTTAGAAAAAGGCAATACTAATTATTTAAGATAATTTTTTTTTAAAAATATATATTAATATATATTTTTTTTATATATTTTTACTCTTTATAAGATTTATTTTATTTTTTTTTTTTTTACACTGTTAATGAATATATTAAAATATGTATAATTATTATAAAAAGAAAATAAATATTTTTAATTTTCTTTTATATTTTTATAAATAATACATGTAAAAACAAAATATTTTAACTAAACGATAAATGTTATTATATAATATGTTTCTAAAAATTCTTAAAATGATGAAAAACTTTGTCTTTCTTTTTATATTTTTAATTAGATATTTTAACTTTTCATGTCTATATAAAATTAAAGAAAAAAAAATGAATAATCTTTTTTTCTTTAATGATTTTTTATTTTATTAATATTTAAAAATTACAAATAGAAAAATAATAAAATAAATGAAAAAAAACTTTATAAAAAAAAAATTTGCAAATGTTAAATTTTTCTCTTTTTTTTTTTATATTTTTTTTTAATTGGATATACTAACAAAAAATTTTGAAAGAAAATAATGTTTTAAAAATATCAAAAAAAAAAAAAAAAAAAAAAAAAAAAACTGGAATATATTATTTGAAATAAATAGTACTTTAAATAAAATTTTGAAAAAAGTTAATTTTTATAAATTTTTAAATTTATCAGATAAAATTAAAAAAAAAAAAAAAAAAAANTTTTTAAAAAAAAAAAAAAAAAAAAAAAAAAAAAACTGGAATATATTATTTGAAATAAATAGTACTTTAAATAAAATTTTGAAAAAAGTTAATTTTTATAAATTTTTAAATTTATCAGATAAAATTAAAAAAAAAAAAAAAAAAAAGAATTTCACATATTCACTTTTTTTTAATTTAAAATTAAATTTAATATATACATATATATATATATATATATATATATATATATATATATATATATATATGTATTAATTGAATAAATTTTAATTTTAAAAGTAAAAAACAACACAAAATGCTTTACTTCAAAAAATTTATTTTTTTTGTATAAATTTAAAAAAAAAAAAAAAAAAATTTTCTCCTGTTTAAAAATTTTATAAATAGGTGAAAATTTAAAGTTCCATTATTAATTATTTTATTTTTAAGAACAAAAAGTAAATTTTAAAAAAAAAAAAAAAATGTTTATGTTAATAAATATTAATCTAAATAAAGTTGTAGGTATATATTGAAAAAAATTAGAAACAGAATTATCAATGAAGTAAAAAAAAAAAAAAAAAAAGTTAAAAAAGGGTAAATTGAGAATAATTGAAATTTAAAATAATAAACAGAAATATATGTAGACTAAATGAATTTAGTTTAAAAAAAAAAAAAAAAAAAAAAAAAAAAAGAAAATGTCAAATAAAAGCAATTATAGTTTATGGATAGGAAATATTCCTTTTGATGTAACTGAAAAGGAATTACATGAAATTTTATCAAAAGTAGGGGATGTATTAAATGTTAGAATAAAATATGATATTGATAAAAATGTAAGTAAAGGATTTGCTTTTTGTGAATATAAAGATCTTGAAACGTGTATGCTAGCTTTAAAATATATTAACGGATTTGAAATAAAAGGAAGAAAACTAAAATTATATTGGGCAAATGAAGAATTTAAAGAAAAAATAAGCAACAACTCAAAAAATAGAAGTGATAAAAGAATAACAAAGAATTCCAACAAAATAGATATAATAGATATAAACAATAAAAAGAATATGTTAAATTCCTATATAAAAAATGATTTGATAGAAAAAGATTTAAACATAAATGAAATAAGAGAAAATAATATGAAAATAAATATTTCTAATATTGTTCATACTTTAACGACATCACAAATTATATATATTTTGTCATATTTTCAAAAATATTCTTTAGAAAATTTTCGCAATTTAAAAATCTTTTTTCAAAAAAATGGATCGGTTGCTTATGCTCTTCTTCACTGTTTATTTATATTAAATGTTATAAATGATTATAATATGACAAACAATTTAAATATTTGCATTAATAATGAAACAATTTTAAATAGAAACGAAAGAATTGTTCAAATGAATAATAGTAATATTAAAATAGAACTGAATGCAAATGATTTGAAAAACAGTAGCAAAATGCAAAATAAAAATAAAGATGAAAATACCATTTTTAAAAATAACAAAATGAATACTAAGAAAGATGAAAATACAATTTTTAAAAATAATAAAATTCAATTAAAAAAGGAAGACAGTATTTATAAAAATAGTGGTGTGTCAAATTTAAAAAAAGAAGAAAATGATAACTTAATGAAAAATAACATTTCCTATTTTAATAAAAAAAATTATACTCATAATTTATCTAATTCTTCTTCATCTAAAATGAAGATAAGTAATAACTCTAATTTATATGCAAAGAAAAATGATTCTAATAACAAATATTCTAGTAAAAATGATTTTTTAAATTATAGTCATAAAAATCGTATTTTAAATGAACAGGAATCTCCTAATAATTCTAATGAAGCTCATAATATATTATATATGAATAATAATATAAATTCCAAATCACAAAATAAAAAAAGTTCCTATAATAATGTATCATTAAATATCCATAAACAAAATAATGAAGTCAATGATAATAAATACGTTGATTTAAACTATATGATGAATTCAAATAATTCAATAAATGACGTTATCGATTTTAGGAAAGGTTTTATTCAAGATTCTTCTAACACGGAAGGTTTAAATAACAAAACACAATATTATAACAACAATTTAATTGATAATAATGAACAAAGAAATTTATATTCTTCTTCAGTTAATGATATTACAAGGAATAATAACTTAAAAGATAGTGAACTCATTAGTAATTATCATAATAAAAATGAAGTGCATAATTATAAAAATATTAATGAAATAAATAATAATATAAGTGATGAAAGCAACATTAATAAATTATATGAGGAAAATAGTAAATTGAACAATTCAAATAATTTTAATGATATTAATGAAATTAATAATTTAAATATTAATAATGAAATGAATAATAAAATTAGCAACATTAATAATTTTAATGATATGGATAATAGGAACATCACAAATAATTTAAATGAAATGAATATTACAAACGATCATCATTTGATTAATTTTAATATGACAAATAGTAATAATATCAATGATAAAAAAATAAAGAAAAATTTTTATATGATGAAAATGGCAAATTTATCTATGAACAATAGCGATAATAATAACTTAATGAAAAATATGAATGAAAATATAATTAATAATATGATTTGTAAAGATATGAATAAAGTACAATTAAAACATTCCTATAATAATAATAATACTTATGTAGATAACAATCATAATAATATATCTATTAATGAAAATAATACCATTTCATCTAATAGTAATAATAATGAAATATATTTAAATGAAATTTATTCTAATATTGAGTTACCTGATGATGCATTGGTAAATGAAGTTATAAAAAATACAGATATCTTAAATAATATTTTAAAATCGAGAGTTGAAGATATGAAAAATTGGAATAATGAACAGAAAATACAAGTTTTAGCTATTCAAAAAGCTTTACTACTAAAGGGTTATCAGCTAAAATGAAATATATATTGTTTACTAAATTTTATATAATTTTTTATTTTATATTTATTATTGTAGTTTAATATTATTACTATGAATTATATATATATATGTATATATATATATATATATATTACATTTCATATTAATCACTATTATTTTAATTATTTTATTTTATTTTTTTTTTTTAATATAATGATGTTATTTTTTTTTTTTATAAATTCATTTAAAGAAATATTAATTTCTTATTTTAATTAAATAGTTATTAAAATGTTTTTTATTTTACATAATTCGTACAATTTTATCATTATTTTATCTAGTTATTTTATTTTTTTTTTAATGTTATATTTTAAGAGCATATGTATATTTGTTTTATGTGTGTAAAAAAAAAAAAAAAAAAAAAAAAAANNNTAAAAAAAAAAAAAAAAAAAAAAAAAATGAAATAAAATAAAATAAAATTTTAAATTATATTTTCCTTTTTTTTTCTTTTTTTTTTTTTTTTTTGTTTATTTTAATTATATAATTATTCTATCAAATATATTTCTTATTATATTTTTCTTATTTTTTTTAAATATAAAAATATAGACAGAAAATGTATATTAATATATTACACTGATTTGCTTTATATATATATATATTTTATTTTATTTTATTAAAGCAGAAATTTAATCCTTATTATTTTAAACATTCTTTTAAGTTTAATATGTCTTTATAAGAGTTAACATTTCACTTTATAATATGAATGAAAGATATATCATAAATAATATATTAATAAAGAATTTAATTGTGAAAAGATATATTAAATGTTTGTATAAGAGAAAAAATAATGAAAACAACACAATTACTCTTTTATATAAATATAGCAAATATTACAAAAAGTTGACAAAAGTTGATAAATATAAAAGTTCTGAAAAAAAATTATATATTGCATATACTAATGATAAGAATGTGAAAATAAAAAACATCAAAAATAGAATATTAAAACATAAAATAATTTATAATTTTAATATTTTATTCTTCGTTCTGCTATTTTTAATTATTTTATATTTCTTCTTGACTCTTTTAGTTTTATATAATAATAATAATCATGTAGAATGCATAATTCCTTTTAATGATTGCCCGATTGTTTTGCATTCAGATATAAACAACTTTTTTAAAAATTATAAGATAAATGAATTAACAAAAGATAATATATTATTATTTTATAGAAATATAAAAAAATTAAATCCAGAAAATATAAAAAAAGTACATTTAAAAAAAAGAAAAACATATAAAATTTTAAATACAGAAAAAATAAAATGTAATGATTGCGAAGTTTTTTTTAATATAATAGAAGATGAAACTGTCCAAGATATTTTAGACTTTGAAGAAATAAATAAATGTGTAAAAATAATTGATAAAAGTTATTGTGTTAATGTAAAAAATAACTTAATAAAAAATAAAAAAATACATATATATAAAAAATATTCTGGACACATAAAAGATACAAACTATTTTCATAGTCTAAAAAAACATAAGAAAATTTTAAATGATTTATATAATAATTCTTATATGAAAGAAAAAGTTGTCATTAGAAGTAAAAGAATTTTAAAAAAAATTTACATATTTTTATATTCTTCATTTTTTTTTTAAAATTATATTGCTATTTTGAATTATAATCTCTTTATTTTTATCCAAAACTTTCGGTAAAATTATTTTAACATTTTATCATTTAATAACTTTTTATATTTTATTTTACAGATAGAATAAAATATTTATATCCTTTATTACATGATTACTTTATTAATTTAGACGATTTTAAATTATATAATGAAAAAAATGAAAGTAATATAGACAATAATTAAATATATGAGATTTAAAATAAAATTCTATATTATTCTATTTTTTTTTTTTTCAGAGATTATTGTAAATGAGGAAAGTATAAGAAATTTTGAATTTCTAAAAGGAAAAGATTTAAATCTATGCCGTTCTTCATATAAAAAAAAATATGGGTAAAGTATATTTTTAAGAAAAAAGAGAAAAAAAAAAAGAGAAAAAATATATTTTCTTATTATTGATATATATACATATGTATATTTTTTTTTTTTTGTTAGTAAAAGTACATTTTATTGGTTATGTCCTGCATTCTATAAGAAGAAAAAACATTTACATGAATATAAAGTATCTAAAATGATTGAGCAAATTTTAAATTTTAAAGAAGTAGGTTATGCTCATAAGAATAAGCATATAATAGAAATGTCAAAATCGAATCCTACTAGAAATACATATAATCATTTTGGTTATATTTCTAACTCTTTAAGTTTACCATTTAAACTTGATATATATAACAGATTCAAAATACTTGAAGAAGATTTATTAGTTAATGAAGTAATAGAACAAGTATACAAAGCATTTTTTTGTCCTTATAATAAAAATGTTGAAAAAAAAACAGAAATAAAAAAGAGAATACCTATTAAAAACGCAGTATTACATAAAGATGTAGATATTTTAAGACTTGCATTTTTTTCTGGTAATTATAAAAATATTTTAGCTAAAAGAAAAAAAAAAAAAAATATAGAAGAAAAAAAAGATGAAGATACAGATGAAAAAAAAAGTGAATCTATAAATTCATATGAGAAAATAGATGATATATGTGCAGATGTTGGATATGTTGGTGAAATGGATGATGAAGATTACGATGAGGGTGATGAGGACGATGATGAAGTTGATTATGGGATTGGAGTTGATGCATTCGAAAAGGATCAATATAATGAAAGTAAGGCAGAAAAAGAGATAAATCTTATTTTTAAATTAAGTAATAAAAATTTAAATTCTATTAAAAAAGAAATTAACAATAATAGTAATAAGACATATAAGAACATCTATAAAAATGAAAATAATTTATCAGAAGGATCTTATAAATCTAAATTAAAATATGTATTAATTGAAGAAGCAGAAAAGATAAATCAAAATTTAAATTTAAATTATAGTACATCAAGATATAAATTCACTAAAGAGCTTGTGATTATATCTTCTTCAATATTCTATGGAAATATGAAAAATTTACTCAAAACTATTATTTTGTTTTTATGTATTCTTATTTTAATGAATATAGTTTTAACAATTTTTTATATTTACATAAAAGGTAATAAAGAAATCTCAATTATTCTAAAAGATGATGAGGAAATTGAAGAAATGCCAAAATATATTAAAAGATTATCAAAACATCTACTTATTGACGAAGATAGTATTAAAAAAAACTATTTTACAAATTACAAACATAGTAGCAATCCTATTTAACATTTTGTAAAAAAAAAAAAAATAAAATAAAATAAAATAAAACAATATATATTTTATATTGCATTTATCTTTTTTTCTTTTTTTTTTGTAATGTTTTAAGTATTTTAAAAAAAAAAAAAAAAAAAAAAATTTCAAATTTTTTATTTTTGTCCGTTAGGAGAAATTTCCTAATTCAAAAAAAATTAAAGAAAGTAAAAAATAATATGCATATATACTTTTTATTTTTTTTTTTTCCTTTTTTTTATTTATGATTTTGTTACTTTTTCGTAATTTTTATTTTGCACATCTTTCCAATTTGTTGATAGAACAGTTCCACATGAAGTTTGCTAAATAATGAAAAAAAAAAAAAAAAAAAAAAAAAAATNAAAAAAAAAAAAAAAAAAAAAAAAAAAAAAAAAAAAGACATTTAAAAACATAAGAATATCTATTATATTTCATAAAAAAATAACACTTTTTAATTATTTTATTATTTATTTTTTTTTTCTTTTTGTTTTTACAAAAGATTTAATCATAGCTCTTTTAGTATCATCATCTCCTTCATTATAAATTTTTCTAAAAAAACTATCAATGCTTCCTTCATCATCATCTTCTTTTATTGACTATTAGTAGAATATATTTTTATATATAATATTAATTTATAATTATTTCTTTTATTATTATTGTTTTATTATTTTGTTTTCTATTATTTTATATTTCTCATAATTACCTTAGTTAGTTTATTCCATTCTTCTGTGCTTTTTCCGCTAAATGGGTTCAAAATATTTTCTTTTTTTTTTAAATTAATAGAATTCTCAATTTTTATAAATTCATTCCATTTTAATTCTATTAGTAACATAATAATATGTATAATAATGTAAAATAAGGAAATTAAAAAAAAAAAAAGAAGTTATATTTCTTTGAATTCACCTTTTATTTCTTTTTCAAATGTTATTTCAACTTTCATCTTTGCAAAAAAAAAAGAAAAATATATATATATATAGAGAGAGAAAAATATAAATAAATATAATTAAATGTAAGTTAATTCCATGATAAATGTATATCTATTTTATATGTGTTATTTTATGTATGGTATGAATATTTTACTAATATTTATAAATTGGTTAATTAAAATTAATAAATTGGTTAATTAAAATTAATAAATTGGTTAATTAAAATTTTATTTATTTACAGGTGTTATATTAATCTTTGTTTTAGATGGTAAAATTTTTGAGAACAAAAAATTTTCAATAACATATATTTCTTCTTCTATTAGAAAAGGAAAAAAAAAAAAATTTATATATGTTTATCAATATTTTTTTTAAAAATAAATTTAAGAAAATATAATAAAAATATTGCCATTAATTATTATAGTTAAAAAGATATAATCATTTTCTATATAGTAAAGAAAATCATTTTTTTGAATATTTTTTCTATAAATTGTAAAAAATATATTGTCACTTGTTTGTGACCAATCATGTCTACAAAGAAAAAAAAAAAAAAAAAAAAAAAATATATTTAATAAATTTTCCAAACAAAAAAAATGATGAAATAATAAAATTTTTATATATACCTAATTATTTTATCATTAACTACTAATTTTATATTCCTTAATTTATTTAATTCATTCAATTTTGTATTAGAAAATATATTATCTAAATTACAATATTCGTTATCTATAAAAAAAAAAAAAAAAAAAAATAAAATAATAATTATTTAGTTCCAATATATTTTTTCTATATTAAGATATATTTATATATAACCCATTATATTTCTAAAAGAATATTTTATTTTGATTTATGAGAATAATATAAATATTCTTCTATATAGTCGAGAACCCATAAAAAAATAATTAAAATTTTAAGTTTAAAAAAATATGTGTAAAAAAAATTTATAAAAAATAATGAAATAATATATTTATGTAAATATATGTTAAATAAATATATATATATATATATTAAAACTAAAAGAATGAATTGTTTAAAAATGAAATAAAAAAAAAAAAAAAAAAATTTTGATGGATTACATTTAGAATAGCTTGCAATAGGGCATATTTTTAAATATGATAAAAAAAAATAATGATATTTGAAAAAAAAAAAAAAAAAAAAAAAGTATATATATATATATATATATATATATATTTATGTATTTTTTTTTTTTTTTTGCTTTTATTAATAGAAAAATTTAGAGAATATATATTTTATAAAAGTATAAAATACAAATATTTAATATACTTAATAGAGATTCTGCAATGTTATTATAATAAAATAGTAAATATTTCTTTATATAACTTTATTTACTTTTTTTTTTTTTTAATTCTTATTAATATTTATTAAAAATGGGAAATATAAAGTAATAAAATAAAAAAAAAACAAAAAAAATATTCTTAAAAGAGTAAAGAAAAAGTTGAATATATATATACTTTAATTTCTTAATGAATTTTTTAGATAATTTTTTTTTGAATTTGTTAAGTCCATTTAATTACAAAATAGACACTTTTTTTTTTTTTTTTTCTTTTAATTCTTGTATATTAAAATCATTCAAAAAAAAAAAAAAAATTAAATTAAATAATATATGTTTAAATATTGTAATAAGAATAATATGTGATTACAAAAAAAAAAAAAAAAAAAAAAATAAACATAATAACAATAATGAAACAAAAAAATGAAAATTAAATATGCAATTTTTATTTTTATAATTTGTTGTTGTAATATATTATGTAAAGAAGAAAATGTGAAAAAATTGGAATGCCAAGGTGTGTATATTTATACAGAAAAAAAAAAACAAAAAGATTTCTTTTTTGAAAAACCTCATTTTGCAATATATAAAGAAGAAAATAATGATATTTATAATTCGAATGAACACTTTAATGGATTATCAATTTTTATAAAACAAAAAGTAAAAAATTACGAAAAAGATAAAAAAAAAGTTTTTTACAACTTTTTGTGTAGAATATATTATGAATATTTCTCTTCTTCCATATGTGAAGACATATTATTAAGTACTAACTTAAAAAAAGAGAATAAGAAAAAGGAGAATAAGAAAAAAAAGAATTTTGAATATATTTCTCATTTAAGTAGAAATATTAATGGATTGTATATAAGTAATAAATATTTTGAAAAATTGTATAAAAACTGTTCTTTTAATATTAATAATTACATAAATAAAAGTTGTTTATCTCATAATTATATTCTATTTAATTGGAGAAATGAAAGAGATATAACGAAATTAAAAGAACATAAAAATAAAGATGAAATAGAAAATAAAGATGTATGGTCTTTCATTTATATATCTAAAACTGATTTAATAAAAGCTCATTTTGGTTTTTATATGAAAAAATTTTTTTTTCAAACATTAAAAAAAAAAAATAAAGGAATTTATTTCCTTTTTGATTTTTTTATTAGGAATAATATTTTAAAAAATATATCTATAATAAATTTTATTGAGAAGGTATATTTTGATGAAAACAAAAAGGAAAATTTCCAAGGAGATTCATTAATATATAAATATGTATTTAATATTTCTTTTAGTATGTATATTAAAAATTATAAAAATATTGATAATATATCTTTTTTTTTTTCTAAATTTTATTGTGAAGATAAGAAGAATAAACTATTTTTTATGAATAGTTTTTTTAATAATCATATATATATCTATTCAAAGGATAGCGGTAAATCAATAAAATATGAAAATAATATATATTCAAATGGTATTGAGAAAAAAATATTTTTATTATCTTATATTTATTCCAATATTGTAATTAAAAATAAAGAGGAAAATATAAAAATATATTCCTTTTTAAATTACGATATTAAGGATTTTCCATTTTTGTTTCATGATAATTTCTATGATATTAATGACTATATAATTTATAATGAAAAATTAAATGAAATAATATCTAAAAAAAGTATATTACATGTTTATGTAAATAAAGTGATAGAAAACGAAGGAATGAATAAGGAAACAAAAACAATCATAAATATTCGTAATACAAAAAATAATTATAAAGATTTTTTTTTTTTAAAGAAATGTCAAATTATTGTAGTTGATTTGTATCCTAATAATATAATAATAGATAAAGAAAAAACTGATAGCCATTTGAAATTTTCATATGTTGATATAGAAAACTATAAAAATGAGTCATCACATATTATAACAAAATATGAAAATGAAAATTTATTTAAAAAAATTAATTATACTAATATAATTAGTAACATAAGTAATCGCCTATATTTGAATTTAGATAATGTAATAACTTATAAATGTAATAAAATTTCTCAAAAAAAATGTTTAGGTAAATTATATTTTTATAAAAACAATTTTTCTAATAATATGAAAAATGATGTATTTATAAAATATGGAAAAAGGTTAATAAAAAATAATGGTGTTCTAAAAAAAAGTTATAATAACGATGAACAAAAAGTTTTAAGTAAAACTAAAGTACATAATTGTTTAAATTGCAATGATAACTATTTCACCTTTTCATATAAAACTCCTTTACATAGTCGTTATGTAGCCCCTTGTTATAAAAATTTATGCACAAATTATGACATAGTAATTATCTCCAATGCTAAACCTTTTCTAATGTGTAAAGATAAGAATAATAGACAGAATAACAGATTAAATAAAATATATGAAAATGATTCATATGGAATTAATAATAATTATAGTAATATTACAATTTTTGCTGACTCAAAGTATGTTTATATAAATAAGGATGAAAACATTTTATCTGTGTATACAAAAGATTTCTATATATATTTGAATGAAATTTCATTTTACTCTTTTTTTAATCAAAGAAAAATGGAGAAAACAAAAGATGATAAAATATTACCTTCCGAAAAAGAAGAAAAAAATGATTACATAAATGAAATAGAAAATTTTTCTGAAGATAATAATTTTTTTAATGATTTTGTATATATAAGGACTAAAAATAATAAAAAATATAAAATATTTAATTTCAATAAAATTCATAATGATAAAAAACTTCCGTACAATATTATAGAAGCAAATAATGTGAAAAAATTTGATATCCCTATATACTATAATTTTTATTATTCTAAAAAGCCTTATTCTGATATTGTATATTTATATTCAATACCTAGAGGTAATGAAAATTATTTGTTTGTTTTATATTTATCTTCATTTGTTTCATTTTTTTTAATTATATGTACTTTTTATATATCATATAAATTTCCTTAAGATACATATTCCATTTACTTAATTCTTCTTTTATAAAAATTATATTTATTATAAGAAATACTTCTTAATTTTAAATTATTTTGAAATTTTTAACAAATTATTTTAAATTTTTAATTTTTATGATTATTTATTATATTTTATTTTTTATTTTTAATTATTGTATTTTTATTTATTTTTTTTTTGTATAATCAAATTAAGGGTATATATTATTTATTATATTTTTTAATTTTTGTTTTTTTCCTATATTCAGTTTTTTTTTTTTTTTTTTTTTGCTTAAAATTTTTTTTTTTTGATGTTATTTTTTAGTGCATTTATTAAAAAATAAAAAAATTGTAAAAAATAAAAAAATTGTAAAAAAATAAAAAAATTGTAAAAAATAAAAAAATTGTAAAATGGAATTGTTAAAATTTATATAAAAATTTCAAAATGAAATATTAAAATAGTTAATATGTCTATATTTTTCTTTAAATATTTTTAAAAAGGAAGTAAAAAAAAAAAAAATTCTTTTTTTTATCTCTATTTTGTTTTTCTTTTTTGTATTCATGTTTTTTATTTAATTTTAATATTCAATTTTTATAATTCATTTAAATACAAAATTTTAATATTTTTAATTTTTTGATTTAAATATAACAGATATATTAAAAGAAAAGAAAAAAAAAAAAAAAAAAAATGAATGAAAATGAATAAAAATAAAATAGTTATTACTTTATTTAAAAATATAAAATGTTTTAAATATTTAAGTATAAGTAAAAGTTACTTTCATATATTATTTACAAATGAAAATAAGGGAAATAAATTTTTAAATTTCAAAAATATGACAGATTTTGAAAATAAAAAAATTGTATTATTAGACATTGAATCAGAAAATAGAAATATAAGAAAAAAAATAAATAGAACATTTATAGGAAGTATATTATTATCATCAATAACTATATGTTTGATTGAATTAAATTTAATATACAATATTTATGGATATATTGTTTCAGTGGGTTTAATAATTTTTTTTACAATTTACTTACTCTTTTATAATTCACTTATATTAAGAGCAGTATTAGATTATGAAAATAAAAATTTGTTATTATATCCTTTTACATTATTAAAAAGAAATAATTTGAAAAAACAAATTATTATATCACTTCATGAAATAAAAAAAATAAACAAACTTAAAAAATACATTCAACTTCATTTAAAAAAGGAGAAATCAGTGTCCATTTTTAATTTTATTCCTTTACATATACCAAGATACAATTGTGCTAAAACAAGTTTACCCAAAGAAAATAAGAAAGATATCTTATATTCTTATGATTTTAATAATCTAAATATTTCTGTTTTTAATCAAAAAAGGAGTAAAATAGATGTCCCAAATATTAAAAAAAATATAGAAGGTTATCCTTTAAATTTAATAGAAGAAAATAAATTAATATCTTTATTGAAATTATGAAAATAACACATTTTAAATTATATATATTCTTTAAATTAGAAGATTTCCTAGGTATAGTATGCATTTTATATTTTAAATTAAAAAAAAAAAAAAAAAATTAAAATAGGTTTTTCCTAATTTGTATCACTTAAAAAAAAAAAAAAAAATTGTAATTTACCTTTTTATTAAAAAAAAAAAAAATTTTTTTTTTTCTTTTATTTTTCTTAAAATAAAAAACTTGTAAAAAATACTATTAATTTAGATTTACCTAATAAAAAAGATAAAATATCTTTAAAATAAAAAATAAAAAAATAAAAAACTAAAAAAAAAGAAGGGAAAAAAAAAAAAAAAATATATACATATACACTAGTTTTTATATGTAAAATATTTAAAGAAATTTAATAAGGATATTTAAAAACAAATTATTTTAAATAAATAAATATAAACATCATAAAACTGTTATTAAAATACAAATAAAAATAAATACAAAATTTTTTTTTTTTTTTAAACTTTAATATTTTGAATATTTTATAGTAATAAAAAAAAAAAAAAATAAAAAAAAAAGACTTAAGTGTTTTATGAAGCTCATAAGATTTTTATATACAATGAGTATCCTTATTTTTATTTGAGATTATTTCAAAAAAAAAAAATAAAATAAAAAATAATTAAATAATAATCTGAATTTAAGTATTTTCTATATATATATATATATATATATATATTTACTATTTGTTCATCATTTTAATTTGTTTTGAAATATTAAGTTTACTATTTTTACTTTCAATAACTTTTGAAATATTAACATAATATAAATTGAAATCTAATCTTGAAGCTAATAATCTAAGTGAATATAATTTATCTCTTTTACTGTTTTTCGAATATATATATAAAAATTTATTTTCACTTAACAAAAGACAAATAAATTTATAAATATAATTTCTATAATATTTTAATAACATTTTAATATCTTTTATAGTTTTTTCTCCAATAATATTATAATTAATGTAATTATTAATATAATCAATATCATTTTCAAAGTTCCCTTTTTCTTCTTTTCGTTCTTCTGTTAGTTTTTTAATTTCTGTATAATTTTCACAAACAGATGAAATCAAGGCACTTGTTAAATTTATGAATCGAGTTATAATATCTAAAATTTTATTTAAACAATTATGAGTTTCATTATCAATATTATTTTTATTAGATTTATTTATGTTTTCTTCATTCAAGTCATTATTATTATAAATACAAGAAATATCACGGTCATTAGATGAATTATAAAAATCATTTATTCCACTATTCAATGAATTATTTAAATGAGACTCATCTTCAGAATAATTGTTAGCAGAGTTTATAATTAAGTCATTATAACTTCCTAAAAATAGATCAAATTGAATTTGAGTTATGTAATTATAATGAGCTTGAATTAGTTCATCTAGATCATTACAAGAAAAAATTTTCTTTTTGAATTCTTGCCAGTTTGTATCAATAACATCGTAATAAAAATAAGATAAAATATTTTGAATAAAATGAAACATTTCATTTCTTATAATATTGCAATAAGTAAATACAGAATTATAATAAACTAAATTAATAATTTTAAATAAATGAGTAAATAAATACCACATATTAGATAATTCACATAAAATTTTTTTTAATTTTATTAATAACACATTAATACTTTTATAAATATTTTTTATTTTTTTTGTAAATATAATATCTAATGGTTTTTCTACTAAGAAATCAAAAACTAAAACATCCCATCCAATGTCTCCTCTTTTAATATTAAATTTTTCTATGATTAACTTTTTGATAATATTTTGATTTGATGTAAAAATAGAAGATGATTTTATACATAAATCTAGTTTACTATTTAAGTAATGTCTTTTTAATTCTTCTGCATTCATGTATAAATCAGTTTTCATATTATCAAAAATAGTTTCAAATAAGTCTCCATCTACTAGTAGGAGAAAATGACGAAATGCTTTAAAATGATCATATAAATCATATTTCTTGATTAACAGAGAAATTAGTTTTTTATTTTTTTTATCTGATATTTTTTTAATATAATAATCTATATTATCTATATAAATATTGATATCATTTACAGAAAATATATCCATTATATTTTCCTCATCACTGCTACTGTAATCATTTATATTATTATTATTATTATTATTTTTCATTCCCCTATTTAAGATAATATTATTAGTTGAATTATTAGATAAAATACCATTACGTTGATTTAACATATAACTTTTATTACTATTCATTGTATTTATTATATTAGAATCATTAGTGTTATTAAATTCATTATCTCCTAAATTTTTATTATTTCCAAAAAAATTAATTAAGTATACACTTTTTCCTGTTAATAATATTTTTTTGGCTGTCCTTACACTTAAAAACAATGGAATATTATTACAATTTAAATAAAATTTGTATAACCATATTTCTTCTGAATTTACGTTTTTATTAGTTGATATAAAAGTTTCATTATATTTATCTTTTAGTATACCTTTTTCTATCCATTGTTTTAAGATTTCATTTATAGGTTTTATACATTTTTGTAGAATTTTTTTATAAATTTTTTGTTCTTCATAATCATATGTTTGTGATTTAGAATATAAAAAAGACAAAAAATTACAACCAATATTTCTTAACGATTCATCTATTACGTTTACTAATACTCTCAATATTTTATATGACTCTTGTAATAATAAATATAATTTTTTTACACCAATATAAACAGTGTTTTTATGAATATGTTCGTTAATATCACTTTCAATGTATGATAATAATTTATAATATTCATTTATATATTCTCTTATAATTTGATACAATGCATCTATAACTAAACTACCTTTTTTTGCAATAGATGCATTTTTTTTATTTTTTATTATTTGATCTTTTGAAATATTTTTATTAACTGAGCATATTAATTTCTCACTTTCATAATAATTTTCCACATTTTCATAAGTATTATAATTATTATTATTTTTATTATTATCATCACTACATGCTTCATAATTTGATAAATCGCTATTGTTATCATCATATATACTAATTTTTTTAGTATTATTATTAGACACATTTATATATTTTTTGATTTTTTTAAACAAAATTCCTACATTACTAATGTTATTTATTAAATGATACATTCCTATACTAACTTTTCTATTATATACACAAAAAACATTTTCTTTTTTATTAAATTTTATATATTCACCATTAATACCTTGAAGTGGATATATTAAATCTCTCAGTATAAAATTCTCTTCTACATCTAAATTATGAAACTTGTTATTTAATATTATGGTTGCATATAAACTTTTATTTACTAAATTATTTTTATGAAGAATTATATTTTCATTTTTATTTTTAGTTTCATAGATATCCTTTTTTTCATTTTCTTTGTTACTTAAAGATTCATTTTTTATTTTTTTATTTTGTACAGCTAGACTATAGTCATTTTCATTTTTATTTTTATTTTCTGATCTTAATTTTTTGTATTCTTCCTTATTTTCTATGTTAGTTTTATTAATATAATTTGTATTTTTGTTAGAATGATTTACATTTTCATCTATTATAACATTTTTATTGATGTTATTTAGACTTTCGTCAACGTATTTTTTCTTTGATGATAATGAATCATCATTTAATGAATTTATTTTTTTTTCATTTTGAAAATTACTGTTTTCATTAAGTTGTGATACAATTGTATTATTGTTTATGTATTCACTACTTTTATTTTCATCTTCATATGCTTTTAACTTTAATAATATATGCAAAATATATTTGTAATTTATATTACTTTCATCTAGCCTTTTCAGCATTATACGTATTTTATTTAAAGTTATATTGCTATTTTTTAAACATAAATATTCAATTTCTTGTTTTATATTTTCATTTTCATTATACTGCAAAACATTAAAATTTATAAGTGAAGAAAGGATTTTATTTAATTTATAAATTAAATGTTTTACTAGAGATTTTTGTAATTCATCATCTATATATTGATTGTTGCTATTATTATTATTTATACAAGCAATTTTTTTAGCTATGAAAAATAAATATTTTGCAAAATGTGTTATACTTTTAAAATTCTCTTCTTTTTTTTTGCGGTTCTCTTCAAAGCTATTTGTATTTTTATTCATCACTTCTTTAGGTTCATTCTGCTTTCTTATATTATATTCGTTACTTTTATTATAATTTGTAACTTCTTCATTTATATTTAACTTATTATAATAATTTTCTTTATAAATATATGTAACCCCATTTTCTATAGTATTTTTTGTTATTTTATTTATATTATTCATATTTGCCATATTTCTATTAACTACATTTGAATTTAACATATTAGTAGATGTAATATTATTTATGTTCAAATTTGAATTTAAATTCATTTTTTATTCAAAAAAAAAAAAAAAAAAAAAATACAAAAATAAAAAAATACTTTTATAAAGACATTTCCAATATATAATTTTGTTTGTTATATTTTTATTTTATTATTTTTTTATTTTATTATTTTATTATTTTAATAATTTTTTATTTTATTATTTTATTATTTTATTATTTCGTTAAATATGTATAAAAAAAAGTATTATAATTTTAGTTATGTATTTAAAAAGTTCTTTTTTAAAAAAAAAATATATGGGTTTATTTTTTTCGTTTAAAATTTCTGTTTTTTCATAACAATGGAATACATTTTTTTTGTGTAATAAAAAAAAATATTATAATTAAATTATGTTATGATATTATATATATTTCACTGAAAGATGAGACTCAATTAAAAATTTTTATCTGAATATTTTTCATTATAAGATGATTACATTAAGTGATATTATTTTTATTTTTGTAATTTTTTTTTATAAGTATTCTCAACACTTTCTTGTTTCAATATAATATATTTTAAGAATACTCATATGCTTTTTATATAAAAAACACATTTTTTTTATTTTTTTTTCTTAAATGCACACATTTCTTTTTTCATATTTGCAAGATTAATGAAATTATTTGATATTATTTAATTATATATGGTAAAAGAGAAAAAAACATGATATTTTAAAATTTATGATGTGAATTATATAAAAAATATACATTGAAAATTTCATGAATTTTAAAGGTACAATGTGTTAAGCAGAATTGATGTTAATAGTGACAAAAAAAAAAAAAAAACTTTATAAATATATGCTCTAAAAATACATATAAATATTTAATTTATATACTTAAATATATATGAATTTCTTTTTTTTTATCTATAATGTAGCAGAATAAATTAAATAATAAAACGGTTATTTACTAAAAATAAATTAATCATAAACTGTTAATTTCCATATAAATAATAAAATACTTTTCTATTTTACTTTTTTAAATATTACTGGAAACATTTATAGAATATATAATTTTGTGAATTTTAAGTGTTATAAATTTTTTTATTAAAAAACTATAAATCTATCTAAAAAAAAAAAATGGTTATTTTTGTTATTTTTTTTTATAGAGGATTTATAATAATATGTAATTAATGAATATCCTATCTAGTTAAAAATATAAATTATAAAATTATATGTATTAAGTGTTCATTGAATAAAATTTTGTTAATTTACATAAATGTATATTTATATTTTTTTTTTTTTTTTTTTTTTTTTTTTTTTTTTTTGAAATTAAAATTCTTTATTTTTAATAAAGTTATGAAGACAATAAAAAAAAAAAATTATATTAAAAATTTATGAACATAAAAAAAAAAAAAAAAAAAAAAAATTTAATTAGTCATAATTTGTAAATATTTTAAAGTAATCTTGAACATTGAAAAATTTGTTCCTTCAAATTTTTTTTTTTTTTTTATAATAAATTTCAATAATTACAGTTTGAAAAATTATTATTTTATTTTTTTATTTTTTTTTTTTAATGTTCTACTACATGTTTATTAATATCTCAACCAGTAAGTTTTTTGTCTCAAATCTGTGTATTGTGGCATACCATGTAAGGCCCCAATAGCAGCAACTGCTATATCTCTATCATGTAAATATTTCCATGCTACTCTTTTAACTTCTTCTGTATCAATTTCATTTAATCTTAAAATAAATTCAGCTAATGTTATTTTACGTCCATAAACTAAAATTTGCCTAGAAACTTCTTCAGCTAAAGTGGAACTAGATTCGAACATGCTAATAAGTTGTGTTTTTAATTGAATTTTGGCTAGTTCAACTTCTTCATCAGTTATACTATAACTTAATGATGTTATTCCAAACATAAGTTCACCAAGTGCATGTTCAACAGCTATTTCATCGCATTGAACATAAAAACCAAATAATCCAGTATTATTATAACATGTATTAAAAGATGTAAAATAATCAGCACATCCTACAGTCATTTTATTACATATATTATTAACAGTTCTATTAGCTGATAATTTTCCGGGTAAAACTCCTTCTTCATTTTTTTTATAACTACCAATTATACATTGCATTAACATAAATGTTATAGAATCAGGTGATTTCCATTCGACCCCTTCAAATGCAACAGCTACATGAGCATTTGGTCCTGAATCATCATCTCTTACTATTATTTCAGAACCACAAAAAAAGGGTTTTTCATCTAAACTTTTTAAAATACTTTTTGGTTGAGGTTTTAAATGACTAAAATTTTTTTCAGCTAACTTAACAATTTCTTCATGATCTACATCACCAACTGCACATAAAACCATTCTATCTGAAGTATAATTTTTTTGAATATATTTTATTATATCTTGTCTTTTCATATTTTTTATATTTTCTACAGGTCCTAATATGGTATATCCTAATGGATGATCTCGAAATGCAGTCATATGTAATTTATCAAAAATTACTTCATCTTTTGATTTTTCTACTTCTTCCATCTCTCTTAGTATTACATGTTTTTCCATTTCAATTAAATTCTCATCAAATACACTATTAGTTAAAATATCACTTAATAATTCTATACACCATTTTACATCTTCTTTAAAACATTTACAATAATAACCTGTTTGTTCTCTTGCTGTATATGCATTCAGATGAGCACCCATATTTTCAATCTCTTTTTCTAATTGAATTCTATTCCTTTTTTTTGTTCCTTTAAATATCATATGTTCTAAAAAATGAGCTACTCCATTATTAAATTTATTTTCATATTTACTACCACTACTTATCCATATTCCAATAGTTGGTATTTCACAATTATTTTTAACTGTTGCTATTTTTAATTTATTTGATAATTCACTTATTCTTGTTATTGGTTGGTTAATGATTTCCTGTGCTAAATTGTAACTATTATAATTTCGTGAAAAAATATTCTTTTTATTTATCACAGATAAAATGTTTTGAACCTTTTTCTTAAACATTTTTTAAAGAATATATATAAAAAATAAAAACTTTATATATGTGGGGTTTTTTAAAAAAAATTGTTTATTTTAAATGTTCATCAATTAAAATATATAAATACATTTATAATTATATATTCCTTTTATATAAATTAGAAATATTAACGTAATTTAAAATAAATCAAATGATACAAATAAATAGAATTATTTTATATATATATATATAAAAAAAAAAAAAAAAAAAGAAAATATATTTT